TTCCTGCACCGGGAAACCCCTAGGACCAGCAGACACGGGAAAAAACCATCCCAAAGCTCTGGCATGTGGATTCAGACTTCGAGTCTCTTGGACTGTGATAGAGTAAATTCTGTTGCCTGTAGCACTCTTACAGAGCTCTTGTGACCTTGTAACAAAAAGCTGTGCTGCTGGGACAGTTCAAGCAGTTCACAGTTCACAGCAGGTGGTTCAAGTCCACCAGCTGCTCCCTGGGAGAAGGATAAGCTTTCTCCTCCCATGTGATTGAACCTCAGAAACCCCGCTGGAAGGTCAGTGATGAGGTTGAGTCTGAAAGCCCTCTTGATAGCACAGGACAGGGCCTGGTCCCATCTGTTACTCACCAGTGGCAATAACCCAATAACTCCAAGCCGTCCATTTATGACACTCTGTGATAGCAGCCCTGGGTTATCAATGGTCAATCAAGGTAGTATCGCTCACCCAGCAGCTCTGTGCAAGACACAGGTTTGGGTTCATAATGACGGTTGTTACTGTTGTTGTAGTCAGGTGCCATTGAGTTGACCTTGACTCATACTAACCATGTACAGAACAGATCAAACTCTACTTGGTCCAGAACCATTTTCATGTGTCTTCTGTGTGCAAGCCCATCATTGTGGCCACAGTCCATCTCCTTGAGGGACTTCCTCTCCTTCTTGATCCGTAAGAATAACAGCCAGAAAACCTGGTGGGATGGTCTCCTCTGCCACTGGGGGCTGCAATGAGCTGGAATTGACTCTCAGTAAATGCACCCGTCACCACCACTACCAGCTACAGTTTTCTGTAAGGAGTCCTAGTGATATACTGCTTTACATTTGGCTGATAATCGAAAGTTCAACCATTCAGATGCACCTGGTGCCTTCTCAGGAGAAAGGCTGGCCAGCAGCTCCCGTGAAGATAACAGCCTACGAGATCCCATGCACCAGGCTGTTGTATCATCCCGGGGTGCTGTGGCTGAAAATTGGCTGGTGCATCTCTTTTCATCCTTCAAATTCTTCTAGAGAAAACAGGAATGTTACCTCCACCTTGACTGCTTGCATTTGAATAGACAGACACAATCACATAAAGAAACGACTTCTGACTCAGAGACATCCCTTAGAACTGGGAAATTTGCTTCTTTATCTGAAGCTTCTTGGGAAAGCCCTCAGAATACTCTGCGTTCTGGTATGTAATTTAAGGAACACAGCCTCTGAGGCTTCCACCCCCTCACTGATGTTGCAAACGTGTGGAGTGTCTTCTCTGCGCTGATAACCTTCTGGGGAGCTCACAGGAAAGAAGATTCCATCATCCTACCTGCACTGAGAGACTGTCGTAGGAAGAGATTTGCTACTTCAACATTAATGACAAAGGGCAGAGAGGTGTTCTTACAAAGAGAGAAAGACAGACAAGACCAACATGGATGTCAGCACAAATGGAAACGTGCTCAGGAACAAAGAGTGGCTGAGGCAAAAGGAAAAGTGATGAGGTGAGAGAGACAAACAGAAGATTACAAAGAAAACAAAGTGAAATATTTGCAAATATTAAAGCAAGAAAAAAAATTTTATGATTAAATATAAAAGATCTATGCTTGGAAAAATCAAAAGATAAGAACATTCTCAACAACCTAAAAGAAGTGAAAATGAATTCAGGCCTCCGGGTGCAATATTGACAAATTTTACCAGCAAAACATTGAATGATGCAGAAAGTATCAAAAGAACTTATCAATACTTTTTTTTGCATTTCTTTTTGAAAATTTTATTAATTTTAACGAACATTTACAGAGATTTTGGATTTCCATTCACTGTTGCACTTTTCTCCACCCCCCCAACCCACCCCCCAATTCGCTCCTCTCTTTGAAAAGTAAAAGAAAAATTCCTTCATTGGTATACAGTGCCCCCGCCCTGAGTACACTCCACTATGAAACCTCAATTCTGGACTCTTGTGAGAACCATATACCCTATCATATATCCCTTTTAAACTGTTCTCTCCCTCATCTGTTTCAATGCAGTATACATAATTTATCTAGTTTTTCTCAGTCTTACCCCCACCCTGATGTCAGTCCCGTTCTACAACAGTGGCACTATGCAGTATTTGTCTTTTTGTGACTGAGATATTTCACTCAGCATAATGTCCTCCAAGGGTCACCCATTTTGAATAATACTGCATAAGTTCCTTGTTTTTCAAAGCAGTGTAGTATTCCATTGTGTGAATATACCACGGCTTCTCTATCCATTTGTTTGCTGATGGGCACTTGGGTTGTTTCCAACTCCTTGCTGTTGTGAACAAAGCCACGATAAACATGGGTGTGCATATATCTGCTTGGATGTCAGTTATGGTCTCTTTGGGGTATATTCCCATTAGTGGAATTGCTGGGTCAAATAGTATCTCTAGTTGCAACTTTTTGAGAAAGCGCCACACCACTTTCCACCATTTCACACTTCCACCAACAGTGAAGAAGGGTTCCAGTTTCTCCACAACCTTGCCAGCATGTGTTGCTTGCTGTTCTATTAAATTTTGCTAGTCTTACTGGAATGAGATGGTATCTTATAGTTGTTTTGATTTGCATCTCTCTTAGAGCTAGGGATTTTGAGCATTTCTTCATGTGCTTGTTGGCCATCTGAATGTCTTCTTTGGTGAAATGTCTGTTCATATCCTGTGACCATTTTTCAATTAGATTGTTTACCTTTATCTTATGGTGCTCAAGTATTTTATAAATTCTAGATATAAGTCCCTTATCAGACATGTCATTACCAAATACTTCTTCCCAGTCTGTGGCTTCCCTTTTTACCCAGTTGGAGAAGTTTTTGGATGTGCATAGGGATTTGATTCTTAGAAGGTCCCATTCATCTATTTTATCTTCTCCTGGTTGTAGATTTTTCAGAATACTTGGAAGACTGTTTATGTTGTGGATTAGGACTACTAGAGTTCTTCCAAGCTTTTCTTTAATGAAGTTTATAGTCCTTGGTTTTAGTCCTAGGTCCATGATCCACCTTGAGTTGGTAGAACTTATCAATACTTTTTAAGAAAAACAAACTACCTTCCCCACCACCTCTCTGAGTGCTTGGAGCCGACTTCCTTCCCTCTTCTTGGCCTTCGCTGCCACCAAGCTCCACGTATAGCTGACATTATGGGCTTCGGAGACCTCAAGGCTGCCACCGGCTTCCAGGTCCTCAACGATTACCTGGCCTGGAAGAGCTACATCGAGGGGTATGTGCCATCACAAGCAGATGTGGCAGTGTTTGAAGCCACCTCCAGCCCCCCACCTGCCGACCCGTGACATGCCTTACGTTGGTATAATCACATCAAGTCTTATGAAAAGGAGAAGGCCAGCCTGCCAGGGGTGAAGAAAGCACTGGGCAAATATGGCCCTGCTAATGTGGAAGACACCACTGGGGATGTAGCTGCCGACTGTAAAGATGACAATGACATTGATCTCTGTGGATCTGAGGAGGAAAGTGAGGAAGCAAAGAAGCTAAGAGAAGAACGTCTTGGATCAAAGAAAGCCAAAAAACCTGCACTTGTTGCCAAGTCTTCAATCTTACTGGACATGAAGCCTTGTGATGACGAAACCAACAAGGCAAAACTGGAAGAGTGTGTCAGAAGTATCCAGGCAGACGGCTTGGTTTAGGGCTCTTCCAAGCTGGTACCGGTGGGATTTGGAATTAGAAGCTTCAGATACAGTGTGTAGTTGAAGACAATAAAGTTGGCACATATATGCCGGAAGAACAGAAAACTGCTTTTGAAGACTATGTGCAGTCCATGGACATGGCCGCCTTCAACAAAATCTAAAGTCCACCTTAATCCAACAATAAAAACTTAAAAAAAAAACAAACCAAAAAATAAAAGCAAACTAGCTATTAAAAACATATTTTTAGTTGATTAAAAAAAATCTTATCAATGATTTTATAGATAGAGAAACTACATGGTACCCTGGCACCCTCAGTTTCTTTGCAATGTCAAAAAACAGTTAGTGAGAGAATTCGTGGAACATCACACAGTATGGATGAATCTAGAGCACATTGTGCTGAGTGAAATGACTTGGGCACGAGAGGACAAATCTTGTAGAAGACCACTAAAAAGCTAAAGACGTTTTACACACAGAACCCTACTAGTATGGTTCCCAGGGAGGGGAAAGGGGAAGTAGGAAATGAATTACTAGATAATAACTACATCCTAGTATGGGTGAGGGCGAGTCAATGTGGAGTGAATGGACCATCAGACAGCAAGGGTTTTGTAATTCATGTTATGGAACAAGAGGTGCGTGGATGACTGAAAAAGAAATGTGCTTTGTTAACATTAACTCGAGTGACAATTTAAAAATAAAGCACAATATATCAAAATCGTGAGATGCAGATGAAGCGGTATTGAGAGAAAGGCAGAAGGCGGATGGAAGGAATACATAGAATTACTGCACCAAAAGAACTGGTGGATGTTTAACCATTTTAGGAGGTATAACGGTCAAGAACTGATGATGTGAAGTTCAAGTGCTCTGAAGAAACGAGGTGTGCAGAAGGGTCCAGGCTCTGAGGGAACACCAGCTGAGACACTTCAACGAATGGGTGCAGAGTAGGAAGCACACGCTTGTCCATGCCAAGGAATTTGGAAGATGATAGTTGGCCAAGAGTTGGAAAAGATATTTGTGCCTGTAATAAATAAAAGTGTCCCAACACTATATGGAAATTATCAAACAATATCATTAAGGTTACACAAAAGTCAACCCTTGCTGAAGAGAAGAAATTTAAAATGCCAGGGCAGTATATCGACAGGAAATTGTCAAGAATTCAAGCGAGATTCAGAAGAGACTATGGAACAAGAAATAGCATTACTTAGTTCTGAAGTTAGATATGCAGTACAGTTGGAAGTGTTGAAACTTATCCATCAATGTGGATGTGCTCCAACACACCAGCTTCCAAATACTAAAATATTTCCCTCCATAAAATATACAGATCTTTCCTCTTTGTGAGTTTTGCTAAATATGGATAACTCAAGTATATCTTTTCTTTTTTCAGGCTGTCCTGGTTCCAAAAAGAATGAGTTCCTCACCAGTGTCTTGGACGCACTGTCCACCGACATGGTCCATGCCGTGTCTGACCCATCATCTTCCAGCAGGTATAACATCTAGGTTAGAGCAGGTGTGGGGATTGCTACCATTGCTGGCCCTCTAACAGGGGCCCTGAGAGAGGGTCCTGCCTGTCTAACAGGGGCCACAATAGAAGGTCCTGGCCCTCTAAGAGGGGCTGCGAGAGAGGATCCTATGCAGAGTGGAACATGAATGTGGAACAAAGCAGAAAGTCGAATGAATGACGAGCCTTGCTGGGCTGATAGAGAATGATGTGACCCTCAGGCTCTATGCATCGTCTATGACTATGAACTATGCCCTTCACTCTGCCCTGAAGTCTGGGCCTGGTTTCACCCTCATGGTACAACTTGAAGCCAAACAGGGGGTGGGCTATGAGGTGAACGGTAGCACCAGGGAGACAAAGCATCCTTAGAACACTCAGCTACGAAGTTATAAGGGTAACATTTATCCAGCAGTAACGCTCAGATCCTCTGATTCCAAGTGGCCAAAGCTAGTCCATCTTATCTCACGGATGCCTAGTCTGTCGATGTTCGTTCATTCCTTTTCATTTTTCAGAATGTCTAGCTTTCCAATATTCAAGCTACATACATTTCATTTTAGGCAGGTAGGGACTCCTCCAAATTGTTGAGGAGTAATGATGCCAGTTTGAGGACTAAGGTGTGTCTGATTCAGACCATGGTCTTTCTGATAACTTGTTTTGCATCTGAAAGCTGGACAATGAATAAGGATGACAGAAGAAGAGTCAATGCTTTCAGCACATGGGAGTGCTCAGTGTCTCCTGACCTGCCAAAAACCTGGAGAAACATGTCCTAGGGAGGGACCAGCCTGAGTGCTCTTTGAAGGCAAAGATGATGAGGCTTCACCTCACATACTTTGGGCATGTTGCTTGGAGGGGCTATTCCTTGGAAAAGGACATGATGCTTAGAAAGGTGGAGGTTTGGCAAAGGAGAAGACCCTTGACCAGGTGAACTGACACTGTGGCTGCCACAATGGACTCTAGTGTGTCAGAAGTGTGAGGATAGTACAGGATAGAGCAGGGTTCAGGGGTTGCTATGGGTCATACTTGGCTTGATGGCACCTAACAACAACAAAAGCTCAGAAGTTGGAAGAGAGAGTGGAGGATGAATGGAAACAAGAACCAAAAAGAGGGAGTGGGAAGGTTGTTCTGACGCAGTGTGGGAACTGGGAGAGAGAGAGAGACAGAGAGAGTAGAGAGACAGAGACAGACAGGGAGAGAGAGATAGAGGGAGAGAGAGAGAAAGAGAGAGACAGAGACAGAGAGAGAATGAGAACAAGGATGATCTGGAATGCAGGATATCTGGGTATCTGGGAGCTGCAGGCCAGAGAACTGGCCTTTCCAGCCAAGGCAGGGCTGGCCTACAAGGGGTCAGTGCTGCAGACCACAAGGTTGCCTCCTGCAGACCCACCATCCTCACTGTTATTTCCCAAGAGGGCTGATCTCTCACAGCTGTCGTGGTGGAAGGAGGCCCAGAACTCAGTCCTTTGACCCTGGGTTCCACAGGCAGGTGGGGTGGTCTTCTAAGGGTAGAGAGAGAGGAGAAGAGGGAGAAGGGAACACCCAGTGTCTCTGGCCTTGCCTTTTGGAATTACATTTTCATGCAATTGAATGTATTTTAATATTGAAGTATTCAACTTCAAGTTCTCAAAATAAGACTAAAACAAAACAAACTGTAAACCTATGTTAGGGCTGTCCTGTCAGGATGAGTAGAGGTGCCTGAGGACTTGAATCTGCCAAGCTCCTAAAACAGACTGTAAATACCAGGGAAGCCCTCTCCCCTGCCTGTAGATACGGCCAGGTCAGCCAGTAGCGTTTGTTCCCCTTTGCATGTGGTCCTCACAAGTTGGGGAGGGAGAATCCCACAGCACTAACAACTCCTTTGTAGGTAAAACTATTGACTGACTGTCCTCACACCGCAGCAAGCCTCCTCCCACCCAGAGAATCTAAGGTCTGACAGCAGCTAACAGGGGCAGTAACAGAGGACTCCTTCTATGTCTCCAGGGAGCATCTTATACTAAAGAGGGCTGACGATCCCATTGCCCCTTTGCACGCAGTGAGGGGACATCTTCAAAGAGCTAACTCAAACTCAGCCCTCATAGAAGGGTGCTAATTTCTTTCTTTTTCTCTCTGGGAAACCAGCAGGTTTTAACCCAAAGGAGAATGTCTAGCCACAGTTGAAAGCATGAACTCTGTATAAAGCTGTCTGCATCCCAGTGACCTAACTAGAATAGCTGTCATTGAGAGGACAGACAGCATGGGGTCGATGGCTGCAGGGCTGGGCTGCTGGTGTCTGAGCTGACCTGACAGGTGGCTGGGAAAGGAGGCTCAAGGACAAGGGGGCTTTTAGGCAGGAGGGTTAGGTATAGCCCACACTAAGCCCATAATTGCCATGAAGAAAGGCAATAGGTCATTTGAAGTTTCAAAAGCCAAATGAATTTTTTTCTGCTAAATCACTTTTTCTAAATCATTTTGTACAATGACCGGACGCAGACCAGTAAGCAGGCCTGCCCCGTTGGTGGGTGGATGAGCTCGGAGTCCAGCTGTGGGTCTGGGAGGTGGACGGTGGCGCTGGAGCTGGAGCGCAGCCCCAGGCCCAGCATCACTCAAGATGTGCTTTCTTGCAGGTTCTCAGAGCCCGACCCCAGCCACACACTGGAGGAGAGGGTCGTACACTGGTATTTCAAACTGCTTGACAAAAACTCCAGTGGGGACATTGGCAAAAAGGAAATCAAGCCCTTCAAGAGGTTCCTGAGAAAAAAATCAAAGCCAAAAAAATGCGTGAAGAAGTTTGTGGAGTACTGCGATGTGAATAATGACAAGTCTATTTCTGTGCAAGAATTGATGGGCTGCCTGGGGGTCACCAAGGAAGAGGCCAAAGGGAGCGCCAGGAAGCGGCACAGTAAGAGCTGTCCCTGACCGTCTCATGAGCCTCTCTGCAGTGTGGTGGGGTTTGCTTTGCAGACCACACACGATGTCTGTGTGGTCTGAGAGGCTAGGGAGCAAAACAGGCCGTCCACGTCCAAGCACCATCCATCTGGAGATAGGCCATCATGACCAGGCTACCACCAGCAGGGTCAGGACTACAGGCAGGAGCTGGGCTGTGTAGGGTCCCAAGCACGTTGGCCTTCAGATGCCTGAAGGGCAGATCTGGGTGCTGTCATGTGTCACCGGCCGGCCCTGTGCATGGGTTCCAGCCCGGCCCAGTGCGGGGCCAGTCTGTGTGCCACCAGCTGACCTTGTGCACAGGCTGCAACCCAGGTCAGCATGGGGCCAGTCTGAGTGTCATCGGCTGGCCTTGTGCATGGGTTCCAGCCCGGCCCAGCGTGGGACCCGTGCGAGCAGCCCCAGCAGAACATTTGCTGAGATGTCTTTTGATTTCCTGGCTTCTGGTACCAAGAGTTGATTGTGGAGCCAAGCAAGCTGCAACTGTTAACCACCTCAATCTCTTCTCTATCTGTCATGGTGCTGCTAATGGGCCCAGTGGTGAGAATCTGTCTTCTTGATGTTGAGCTTCAATCCATATAGAAAGCGATAGTCTTTGACCTTGTGCAGCAAGAGCACTTCAGGTCCTCCTCAGTTTCAGCAAGCAAGGATGTGTCATTTGCATAATGCAGGGTGTTTTTCAGTCTTTCTCTAATCCTGGTGATACATATGTATATATACTTTCAAGACGACACACACACACACACACACACACACACTCTTCATGAACAATGTTGAAGTAATTACACACTGTTTTGAATTTCGACTTTACAGACCAACAGACACAACAAGATACAATTCTGGACAATTAATTTGACCTAAATTTACACTATTACAAATATTGTGAAAGAGCTATCACTCCCTGAAAATAGTGATAAAACCCTAGGATGAAGTATTTCTGAAAAATTTTAGGAAAAAACTCAAGAAAGATTACTACACACCCTTATGATTTGCTGATGACCAGGGCACAGAGACCTAGCGACTAGTAAGTAGTCGTTTCTGACCCAGTTATGCTCCCAGCCATCTTGTGAAGCTGACTTTCCTCCCATGAGCTGCAGGCCAGGTGTCCCCGCCTCATGCCCTCACCATCTGTTGGATCATCTGACCCAGATGCCATAAGCTCCACTGCCCTGGACTTTGTGGAGGGGGATAGAAGGATGCGACTTGGCCCGTCTCTCTCGTGACCTCACACTGAAGTATGTCTATGGGCATGACATCTCTGCAAATTCATCTTGATAATTTACTTTCTTGTCTATTAAAGTTAACAAAATCACAGGCTATTATTATTAGTCCAACAACACATTGCAGTGGGTAACTGCTGCCCAGGGCCTCTTCTAAAGCACTAAGGACCTGGGATATCTGCTTAGAGACTACCAAGGTCTCTAATGTTTTCAATTGCCTCATCTGTATCTGGAAGGTAGACAATGAATAAGGAAGACCAAAGAAAGGGTGAGAGACATAAGGCAGAGTTGTGACAGGAGGGGCAGGGCTTCTACCAGACAGGAGTGCAGGGAGTGAGGTATGGGTGCGAGGGCTGTGGCAGGAGTGGGGCAAATGGAGCAGGGTGGGTGGCATGAGACAGGGGTACAAGCAGTTCGTTCCAGGACTTGAGGACCAAGCAGGAGAGCAGTGGGAAGGGGTGCAGAGTGCGTGGACCCCTGACCTTTTCTGCACACCCCACTCTTGCTCTGATGAAGGAGTTGTCAGGAAGGTACCGCTTAGAGGGTAGAAGTGGATGAAGGTGCTGGTGGCTGCATGCACGTGGGTGGAGGATGGGTCAGTGTTGGAGCAAGGAGAGATTTCGGAGGCTGGTGAAAAGTGCAGGGGAGACCGTTAGTCTGGGTGCAGGCCAGCAGTGATGTGGTGGGAATTCTGTGTTCTGCAAAAGTTGTCAGCTGTCGTCAACGCCAGCTCATGCTGACCCCCTTCATGTCACAGCAGAGTCAACGCCGTGGATTTCCCACGGCTTATCTACCACATTCAGAGCTTGTCCTTAAGGTAACTTTGGCTGGGTTTGCACCGTTACCCTTTCAGCTAGTAGTCAAAGGCTTCACCCTTGACACCACTCAAAGGGCCTCAAGAGCAAGCTGTGGTGTTGCAGACTGAAGGTAAAGTATTTTTATAATTGTTAAGAATGAGATAGACACCAAGAATGTAGGAGGAGAGCAGAGATAAAAAACAGGTACCAGCAGTTCTCCACTGAAGCACCTGAGCTTCTCTGTACCTTTATTGAAAATTATCAGAAAGTAATTCACAAAGAGAATTCAATGCAAATGAAGTCAAGCTCTTTCTATTGAAAACCTTCCCCTTGACTCAGGAGGGAGGGGTCAGCAAATGCAAGGATCTGGTAAACCCTTAAGGATTGTCCTGGTGCCTCAGGGTGAATTTGGTCCTGAACCTCCCCCACATCCTGAAATAGCTTTCCGTTTATTACAAGTATTTGGTACTGGTTTCCTCATACGGTGGGGTTTTGTGTGGGGTAGAGGGAGGCTGGGTTCGCACATCCTGGGCAAGAAGATTCTTTTGGGGACAGTGAGAAGTTCAGGGTTGGGGGCGGGGTCTTCAGTTTGAGATGCCTGTGAATGGTTCAGCGGAGTGCAGAGTTGAATCTCAGTGTTAGGTGTCAGGATTGATGTTCCCCCTGGGGATTCTGGAGAGAAATCCTGGTGTTACCTGTACAGAGACATAAAGACCTGAGGGAGGGGACAGAGGGGACCAGGCTGGATCTCCTGGGAGGGAGGGAGATAGAAGAGCAAGGGCTGAAGGAGGTAGCTTCACAGGTCAGAAGAGAGCCAAGGGTCAGATGGGGACCAGGAGCTTGAAGGAATGGGGGTGCAGTGGCCACAGGTGGACCGGAGTGTATGGATCAGTGGCTGTGGTCTATGAAAAGCGAAGGTCTAGAGTTCTGGCTGAGATGGGCATCTGGAGTGGAGGAAGGAAAGTAGAAGCAGGGCATGGCCAGCACGGCGTGACCTTGAGGCCCACCAGAGTACCCTGCCTCGTCCTTGTCCTCCTTCCACACCACCGGTCACCAGAGTCTGCCCAGTGCCTCTCCCCCAGGCTGCAGCTTCCCTCCCAGGTTTGGGAAAGCACATCCTGTGGATCCACTTTGCCATTAATTCTCTTCTGACTTTGGACTGTGGGGGCAGAGCTCAGCTGGGGGGGTCTCTGAGACCTTGACCGTGGCCGTTAGAGGTCACTGCGTCAGCTTCCTCCCGCGGAGCATGCTGGGCTCCGAGTGCTCACCTTGATGAGCAGGGAGCACTTGGCCACTGAGGCCCCTTTGTGTTGAACCTAATACGTTGCTTTCTCCTGGTTCTAACACATCGGGCGAATGGGCACGTCCCGGGCATGCGTAGGGATGTGCTCCGTGTTCAGGGATGTCCCTGGGGTTGGGGAAGGGTGAGGCCTTCTTCTCTAGAGGAGCGGGCCTGGTGTGGCCATCTCGCATGGTGCCTTCAGAGGCCACTGTTTGCCCCGTGGATGGGTTCACCTGCTAGCAGGTCCCCTACATTGCAGGAAAGCCCAGCTAAGCGAGCAGCACCCCTCCTTTGACACCTTTTCTCCTTCCCTCTCCCGACAGCCCCGAGAGGAAATGCAGAAAGCCAGACTCTTCGACAGGTGAGTCTCGCTGAAGGAAGCCTTTGCTGCCTTAACACAGGTACAGCACGCCAGCTGGGGTGCACTTGGGGTGCACAGTACCCCCCCCAGGACAGAAACCCCCAGGGGAGCTCGTGGTGCATACAGCACTTGAGGCCAGCGAAGTCACGTGCGGTGGCTCTCGGGGACGTGTGCGCTCCGGAGCCCTAATGTGTATTTACGATTTGACATTTCAGTGACTTTATTCCTTTAGAAAACTGTCCAAGTGCCAGTGCTGTTGGGAGGAGGTGCATCTCCTCACCCTCTGAGGAGTTGGCAGGGCCAGGAGGGTGCCAGGCGCCCTGAGTCTCCCCACCTCCTGTTGAGAATCACAAGACAGGGTGTCAGGCACCCTGGGTCTCCCCACCTCCCGTTGGAACTCACAATACAGGGTGCCAGGCGCCCTGAGAGCATGTCCACGTCCTGCTGTGTGTTGGCAGCGACGTGGCGTCTCACCACCCTCCACTCTGAGACCTGTCAGAGGGGGAAGATTTCAGGCCCTTGACCTTGACCTCCCGGTCCCCCGCAGTCCGGTTGAAGCCTTCTTGGCAGCACCAGCTCGCTGTCTGCTCTCCCTGGTGTTAGGGGTGACCGATGTCTCCAAGGTCACCCTGCCTTTGTCGGGTTGGGATTGGGACTTCCGGCACCTAGCCCGGCCACCTGAGGCCTGTGTGTTGGAAGAGGCATGGGGCCGCCTCTTTGTTTGGAATATGTTTACGGTCTTCGCCTTTTTAATCCCACCACAAATCACTTGCACTTGGAAACAGCGGGTCTGAGAACAATTACCCCAGCTGAGCTCCAAAGACTTCCGGAGGGCGGTTTTAATTAGGCAACGGCAATTGCCGGCACACTTGTGCCACGCTTGGGCTTAATTAAGCTCAGCCCGGGGAGCAGGTCCTAGCAGGGAACGCCAGGGTTGCCCACTCCATGGACAGGCCTATGTGGACCTTCCCACACACCGAGGGGCCACTACGCAGATAGGGTCCTCTTGTGACGTTCACGTGTGCAGGCCGGCCAGCATCAGCTACCCAGACAGAATCACCAAGGCTGCGGTCTGCAGCTGGTGACAGAGGGCGGGCAGGAGGCCTGGAGAAGTCGCCCTCAGCTGACAGCAGCACCAACCGCCTCCCC